AATCTATGAATCGACATATATAAATCCATAAAATAATTTGTATAACATATTCATCAATATTTCGATCTTGCGTAAGTTCCCCAGTTAATGATTATAATCTATATTAACATTTAAATTGAAAGCCTTAATTTTGATAGACTTTTAGGATAGACTTTTTACTTAAGGCAAGCAAGCAAGGTAAGCTCATTTATATTTGTGCTTTATATCCCTTGAAGATTTTTTTAAAAGTCATATCAAGTTTATAGTACACATGTATTTCTAACAGAGCTGGAAGTTTGTATTAATAAATTTGGTCTTTTATTTGACAAATAAATATATCTCTCTATATATCCCAAACGTTATAATAAATATAGAGAGATTTATTCTACTGCGAAAAAAGTCAAAGGAATGAAACGTCTCCTAAAGCTCTAAAAGTAATATAATTTTTAACTATTTGCTTCAGTCTACTCAAAGTCCACATAAACACAAAACTTATAAGCCAAGATTTTATTAGGGCTGCATAATCCATTACACTTGCGGCCCAAACTTATGAATAGCTAAGCATAGTTAAATGTTGTACTTAAGAGCTGCCATAATAGCAGACATATTTATATGTATATGTATGTGCACATATTTAACGATCCACACAAAGGGAATCTGGGCCCAAAATGCGCAACCCCAAAAGTGTGCTATCAAATATGTATATGCCGTCTGCTAATGGCGTGACGTTGGCTTTATTTTTCTTTTCTTTCTTTCTTCTTTTTTTTTTTTTTTTTTTTTTTTTTTTTTTGGCAAGGCGAAAGCTGAAAGCCGAAAATAATTCACATTTGTCGTGTAATAATCGCATTGGCATGTTCAAATCGCATAAGCAGGGGCCTCTTTTATGCACAAAATGTACACAAAAATTTAGAGCCAAAAATGTGCTTCTCATGCAGCAGCAGAACCCTTCCAGCCCTTCAATCCATTCGTTCCATACAATTTCATGTATTTGTTTAAATGATAATAAAATGCAGCACTCTAATGTAATTTATCATTCGCACAGAGTGTTTCTCTGTGTATGTGTGTGTGGGTGTGTGTGTGTAGCCAGTGTTGTGTAATTTTTATATTTCCCTTCTCATGTCAGCCACATAGTGGGCATTGTGTTTTATGCGATTGTACGAGCCCTGCCTACAGCTTTATTGTTTACCTGACTGACGTCATGTACATGTGTGTGTGCATGTATATGTCCCTTTCGGATGGCCATTTCGTTTGCCCGATTGTTTGTGTATTGTGCTTTGTGTCTGGCCATTGAATTGCTAGCCACAGAAATGGTTTATGACAGCATCAAAGCGGTTGCCCCTAACAGCTCTTAGCTTGACCTTATGCTGCGATCATATTGAAAATAAATACAAAGCTCAAGCTACAGCAGTTGTCATGGCACTCCAGTTGAAATGTGTGGGGCATTGGTATTGGAAGTGAAGTGTTATGAGGTGAGTGCTTTATTTATATCTCCCACTTCACATTGACTGATTATAAGTCTAAAGAATTAGTGTAAGATTGGCCAACGCCAAGAGGTTCAAGTCTATAAATATATACTAGCAATTTATTTGCTGAAATACAATTGTATAAACTCTGCATAAATGCTTTAATCTGTTACAGAATCTAGCATGCGAATTTAATTATTACAATACTTAGACAAACTGAAGATAGTTGCAAGTCAATCGAATCAAATACTAACCATAAATTTGATTACATACAGATTATTGATGTTTTCATTTAGCTCTACGAACTGGAAGAGTCTTTCTCTCTCTGTGTGTGTGTGTGTGTGAGACTGAGTGCGTGTGTGGTGAGGCTAAGCGTTTGCCATTTCATTTATCAAATGGAAAGTCTCACTTTGTGAATTGAGTCTGATATGAGGCCCTAAATCATTGACAGTTGCTCATGTTCTTAGAAGGGTTTAAGAGGAATAGAAAAAGGATCAAGACATGATGGGCACACATATATTATTTTTTAAAGCACCACGCTGAAAGCTAATCTATTTTAAGTGTCTGTAAGGCAGTCGACCAACAGATGTGTGCGCGTGTGTGTGTGTGTGTGTACATTAATGAAATGTAGCATAATATTTTTAGTTTAGACATTGGCTGACTACACTGTGAGTGTGAGAATCTGTGTGTGTGATAAGCGTTCGTGTAAATCCCTAAAATAAGCAGAGACATAACATACAACACGAACACACACAATCAGACGCACACACACACACGCACACATAGACAAATCCCCTATAAGAGCTGAATAGTCCTCAGCTATCCGCTCGCTTTTGGTCACTGACCATAAATTCAACTAAAATATATTTTGACATTTTGCACGCAAAGCGCTTGATGAGTGGGGTACAGCAGACTCTGGCTAAAGAGAGAGAGAGAGAGAGAGGGTGAGAGTGAGAAGGAAGAAGGGACGACGACGTCTAACTAAGCGTATTGGCTTGCCCACATCCCGGGGTGCAAATGGGCCAATAGGGAGGGCACACATTATATAAAGGTCATCGCAAGGACCAGGCCGCATTTCCTATGAAGTGTTAACATGCGATAACAACCGCCCTCCCCCTTAGCCAAGAAACACAATAAATGATACCAAATGCTGATGACGGCCCAAAGATTCTATTTTCTATGTCTTCAGAGATGAAAACTATGTCGAACGCTGCCCAAACAAAGCAGGATGACACGCAAGCACGATTATTTCGTGCTACAAATTATATTTTTGAGTATTACGTAAAATATATATATTAAATTTAAAAATTCATATAATTATGTATAAATAAGA